CATTAGCTTTTTTTTTTTTCAGTAAGAGGTTTTTATTTAATAGAATTTTTGGACAAAAAAAATCACAATATATCGCAATATACTGCCTTGCTTACAGTATCGCAATATATCGGGATATATCGTATCGTGACCCCTCTGTTATGATATGTATCGTATCGCCAAATTCTTGCCAATACACAGCCCTAATAATCACACATATAAGTTTTAGTAGCTTCAATTTTTTTAAATGGAGACATGCTTCAAAACATGTAAAAGTGTTATTAAGCACTGACTAAAAAGCTAATTTATAAAAAAAGTAATAATTTTCAGTCTGAAGTGTAACACTTTAGCTGATGATAGTCACAAATGTTTAGAATTCCAATTTCATTTATTCGTCTGGTAATTTTACATCATTATTAGTTTTATATTAGTGCCATTTATATAAAAACATTTGATTGTTAACTTTGTGCTGATATTTTGACAATGTGTCCTGAGGTGTTTAAGTTTCATTTACTTTAAAACCAAAATGTGTTAACATTGATGACAAGATGTGTATCTGCATATTTATGGCATCATTAKTAACTGACAATAATCATAATGTTAATATTTATCATACTGATACTAACAGCTAGTGCTTTTGGTCAAAATAACTTAATTAAATTTTCAGGTTCCTGACTTTAAAAGCTACATTCTGATACCTGGATCATTCTGATATCATAAGCAGATCCCGAGAAATGACTTAATTTGTCTTGTTGGTTACGATAATTCATTAATATTTGGTCTGAATCCTAATTTTATGTAAATTTAATGAGAATTTTTTGATGGCATTATAAAGAGGAAATCTCAAATAAAATTTGAATATTGAGATTTCCCACTTAGAAAGAAATAAAACTTTGCTAACTCACAGGGAAGATCTCAAACCTTTAAGGCATTTTTCCTCAAAATCTGTTTTTTTGTTCCTACTACTCAAAAATGAGCTTCAAACATTTTTTTAGGATTATATTTCAGACAGTTCATTCAAATGATACACTGATAAGGCTTTCATTCATTATATTTTGACAAAATGCTATTTTTGCAAACCCTTTATCTGCCTATTTCTCCATATTAAACCTTTGGACTTAATCCTCRTTTCGATGTGATGGGTCACAAAAATGTCAACTTTTCTTATTTCAAGCAGACCTTTGGGGTCCAGAACAAAGTCCAACCTGTCTTGGAAGACCCCCTGACAGCACAGCTCCAAGAACAAACTCCACCATGATAACGTGATTCACGGTGGGATAAAAAACAAATAAAACATACTGTATAATGATATTTACACACTGATGAGTGCTAACAGTATATTAAAGCATAATTGACAGTTTAAATTCACATCTTCATCTGTTCAGGGGTTAAATGCAGGTCTCGTGGGGGTTAAAAACCAGTTAAGTCGTGATTATTTTGAGACACGCGTCTCGTTGTTTAACAGAGACTAAAGAGATGAGAGCCCTTAATCCAGTAAAGTCAGAGCACTGGATGCACAACAGCATGTGTCCCTGAAAGATTGTAATTACACATTAATCTGACATCTGACTCTGTCTGTAATCCCAACCACCACTCCACTGCTGGGGCTTAATCCTAGACAGAAGACACCCAGAGCTGGGATTAGGAAGGCCGCTGTTCCCCTCCTGCTCTCTGTCTTTTCAGGGCACGCCTAATTAATGTGGCAGGATGCAGAAAATTAACTAACTAAATAAAACATACCTGCCAAATGCCTTTTTKAGACTAAGATCATCTTATAACCCTAACTCTAGTGTTCAAAATGAGTAAATATTTGCAAAAMACAAAGTTTATCTGTTTGAACATTAAATATCTTGTCTTTGTTGTGTATTCAACTGAATAAAAGGATTTGCAAATCATTGTATTCTGTTTTTATTTACAGCGTTCCACCTTCATTGGAATTAAAGTTGTATGTTAAGAAACTACGATGTCGCAGCAATTTTGGCTCAACTTTGAAAATACTGTACTACAGCCTATATATTGCAATATAGTCAGTCTCAGCTACTACCACAGTAATATTAGGCCAATATCTGTAAAAAGGACTGAGTTATGGCCGTTTTAAAGTTGTTGTTTTTTTGTAAGTTAACCGGCTGTGGCAGTGGCACAATAATCAGTTCATTCTGCAAGTTTCATTAAAGCTCATCCAGTGGCTCATGAGATATTTTGTTAACACAAAGATAACATTATCATCCGCCTTTGCCTTTTGGAGCCAGGCAATAAAACTCAAATGAAAATTATTTACAACTACAGACATAAACCGACCACGCATAAAGACTCAGCTGTGTCCTGAATTTTCCTTCACTCTGCAGTTTTATGTGCGCTCACTGAGCTTATATTTAATTTCTTATTACGCAGTTACAGCCTGATACGGCTCAGATACTCCTGCAGCGTCTCTTTGCACACTGACAGGGAATTCTGTATCGAATATAACTCTTTCATTTAACTGCCAAGAAGAGCAATAAAGACCAAAACTGAAAGCCAAGCAGATGAAAGCCAAGAGTGGAGTCAGAGGATTCTGTAACGACACGRCAGCAGACGCAGAGGCTGAGAGCTGAGGTTAGGCTGACAGATTCCTCTGCAGGCCACAGCTGTCCCAGTGGGACATCGCTGCAGGCCTCGTTTTTGTACATTTCATCTGCAACAGAGCCCCGGCAGATCGAAGGAGGGCCGACACACTGAAGACAGACGAAGCAACAAAACAAGAACATGAAACGAGGGTTTGTTTATGGCTGCAAATAATTGTCATCTGCTCCGAGGCGGAACATGTGTCGGTTCTATTTCAGCTGTTTTGGTTGTTTTTCTTTCCCCCCTAAAAATACGCTGAAACGCCCAACTTTGTCTTGTGTGGTTACCCTCGTGACTGAAGCTCACCTCGGCTGCTTTGAGAAGTGGGGAGCWGAAGGACGGAGGTTTCCTGGCAGCAAAGTACAGCTACTCTGAGAAGCATGTTTTAAACTCAAGGCTCGCGGGCCAAATCTGGCCTACCGTACCATTTTATTYGGCCCCTTTCAATGTGAAATAATTTTGACTTTTGTTGTTGTTTTTACATTCAGTGCATTATTCACATGACAGATGGACAAATTTCAAACCCAGAAAATAGTTAGAATTGTTCAGTAATATTGGATTTTGGTTCAGAAAAAGCAACATGATCAACTTTAACTAACTTTWGCTTTATTCTTTTCTTATTTAAAATTCTGATAAAAAGATTTTTAACGAGGGTATTCTTTTTCTTAATAATTTGATGGATTGTGACAAAATGTATGGCTTAGAAATAACAAATGAAAAAGTTGTTGAAAGAGAGAAAGGCATAAAAAAAGTGAATGCTAAAGATGTGTTTTTCAAAATTTTATTTTTTTTCTTTATCTGTTACATCCTAAATCCTCCATAAAACACAAATTTAGGAAATGTTATTTGTCTTCCTACAAGAATAACTTGTTATATAACATGTTTTTGATAAATACAGACAGAAATCGGCCCTTAGCTTGGATCAAGTTTATAATTTTGCCCCCCTTGTGTAACTGAGTTTGACACCCCTGCTTTAAAGAGGCGAATAAAAAAAAATAATAATAATAAAACCTGGGTGAACTTCCTGGGCTGTAAAACAAATGTGTGTGATTGCTGCTCCAATAATCTTTACTCTTGCTCCAGTGAGCTCTTGCTGATAGAGCACTAAATCAGACAGCTCTGCAKTGCTGCAACTTGCGCTCCTTTTTGTCCGTGCTTTTTTTTTTTCCTTGCAAACTGCGCTCGAATCTTTGTCTCTCTTCATCCCCATCACCCTGCCTGTCCTTGGAATCAAACATGTTGTTTGTGCACCACTGGAAACCTCCCAGCTGAGAGAGGCTAAAAAAATCCTGTTTGATTTTTCCACTTCTCATTGGTCTTCATCCAGTAGCTCAGCTTCTTCCYCCCTTATCTTCCACCACTTTCAGTCCTGCCTCCCCCTCCACGCCCTGCAGCCGCAGACCCCCATGACGAAGGGTTGCTGACACAATGCTAGCTCAGCATGAACACACACACATATACACACTTGCTTAACCTGAAGAACCTTTATGAGTCTGTG